CGTCAGTTCTCTAATCATACCAGTCAGCACTTGGTGGGGGTTTTGTAGGAGCCCCGAGCTTACGGGCACCAGCCGCCGCCGCGGGGACCATTAGCACGCGGCGGTGGGCTCCTCCCCCAACTCCTTGGACACATGATTTTCTCTTGGTTTTTCTTGGTTTCTCTTGGTTTCTCTCGTGGTTTCATAACGTAATTGTTTTTGTTTCCATTGTTCTTGTTGTGCCGTGATTTCGTCTATGTTTGCGAGCGCGCGCGTTTGCGTCCCTCCGGCGGCGGCGGCGGCAATCGGCACCTGCCCATCCCTCTCGCGGTTCTCGACAGGGATCCCTCTTAAAGGTTGAGGCCCACTCGAGACACATAGCTCCACAAACACACTTACACATTAGCGATATAACGTAACGTAATTTCAAAGCAAAGGGATTTTTCCTGTGCAATTTGGCAAAAGCGCACAGGTTTTGCCCTCTAAGATAGGCACCAGGTTTTTCTAGTTAGGACTTTCCTGGTGGAACTCACAACACAACAACATCACACATTACAACACTACCACATTTCAGCATCAAGATTCAGCAGCAAGAAATGTAAGTACTCAAAATCCCTCTCGGCACTGCCACTCTGGCACCCTTTCTGGCTTTCCCTTGCACTTGCTTCCACCGGACGTCACATGAGCCGGGCTAACGTAAACTTTGTTCTTAATATTGCCTTGGGCCGGAATAACATAGCCGGCATTAAAGTAAAGTAAAACGGAAGATCTGGCTAATTGCCAGCTAGTAACTTCCCCCTACCCCGACCAGGGCCTCGGCCTGTCGGGAGCAAAATTCAAAAAAAAAAAAAAAAAAAAAAAAAATTCTCGATGTTGTGAGTGCCGAAACCGGTAATTGTGAGCCAGGGACCCCATTTTGGCTATCTCAACTCAAATCTAATGTTAAGGTGGGAGGGTCCCTTTAAGACGTGTCTGTGCCCCATGCCAGCCTTTCCCAGCGCCCGTATAGGCACGAGCCACCGCCCGCAGTGACACCTCGTCGCTCAGGTGGCGCATGCTAGTTCTAACCTCGCTTCCCAGATGACACTAGCCGTCCGCACCAGGGGTGATACTGCACCGCAAGACACATTTAAGAACGGAGAGGCAGCTGCGGCTGGTGAGACTAAATGCTTACTTCGAAATCTAAGCTGCGTTGCGGCATTGGCGGTTATGTGCGGCGTGTATGCCGCATGCTTAGTAAGCGGCGACCACTAAATTAAAAACTCAATAGCTTTGACCTGTTTTCAATGGATAACACTGCATACCAAAAATGTCCATCGCTCTCGTCATAGGATATTTAGATTTAAATAACTAACTTATCTACATCATCGTTTTGAACCAAATTAATACTTTCAACTTGACCCTCGCCCGTATTGGTGTTTTTCCAGCCGCGAACGTATAAGGTATAACCCCTTGCCGTTTCGCTCCTGATCAAGCTAGAGCTTCGCGGAAAAAACGAGCGTGTTGCCCGTGACGAGAGGAAGCCGATGATACCCAATTTTAAGGTCCTAGGTCATCGGTTGACCTTCCAGGTCAGGTCAATGACCCAAAAGGCGGGAAAATCAGGACCTGTTAGAACGTCGTAGTGTGGCTGCTATGGGTTTTTTCGGGGTGCTGATCACGAATATCATGCTAGTTTTGATCACAGATGATGTCTTCATTCATTTAGGCCAGGTCGGGTCAGGTCAGGTCAGGTCAACCAGTAGAGGTCCTGCCGGGTATTTGTAGTAGGTGTCAACCGCCTCTGACAGCCTCGTAACATGTTACGAAGGCACCAAAACTACTTTGTAAACGTTCATGTGGTTGCTAAATTCGAATTCAGCTCGAAAAACTGGCCTAGAAACATGTCAAACTCGAAAAAGTGAACCGAGGTCACCAAAGGTCAATGACCTGACCTGACCTTCAGATGACCTTGACACCCACCCTAATGGATGGGGGCAAGATCATATCACATGTTTGAACGCTTGAAACCACGAAAAGACTGCAAACGCGCTGCTAATGCGAGCCGACATACGCTGAATCGCGGTTCCGGCCAAACATGGTCTCGAAAAGTAGGTCACAGGTCAAGGGTTATTTGCGTCAGGGTCATGAAATTTTCAGGGTAGGTGTAAAATTGATCAACGCGAGGGTACTAAAAGTTACGTCGTGATCGGCCGCTTTTTACGCGAGTTATTCGCGAAAAACCGAGGGGAGTCCGTTCGACCCCCCCCCCCCCTAAAGGGCGAGGGTTAACTCACAGTCCGAACTCCGAACAAGTTCGGTCTTGTTTGTGAATTTGTCGGAGCATCACCTAAATCTAGTAGAGATGATGGAGGGAAACTAGGCTTTTAAGGAGGGAAGGGAGTCGGTGACGGTCAGGGGCACTACAAGCAGAGCAGTCATAAGCTGGTGACAGGGCTGACATACCATGTTTTGATAGCATGACTGAAACAGACTTTTTGGGTAGCCAGGAAATCGCATGCGAGAGCCTATTGAAATTCTTACATCGGCCTTTATATGCACCAGTCGTATACAGGTGCGGGATTTGGCATACGATTTCCAGACAATCGAAAGACTGTTTGGAGCCAACGAAGGAAGGAATGAGTGAGTACTAAGTTGAAAGCATTAATTTGGTTCAAAATGATGATGCAGATAACTTAGTTATTTAAATCTAAATATCTTGTGACGAGAGCGATTGGCATTTTTGGTATGCAGTGTTATTCATTGAAAACAGGTTGGAGCGTTTAAGTCTTTAATTTAGTGGTCGCCGCTTACTAATCATGCGGCATACACGCCGCACATAACCGCCAATGCCGCAACACAGCTTAGATTTCGAAGTAAGCATTTAGTCTCACCCACTCGGAAGGAGAAACTCTGCGGCCCCCAGTCAGAGTTGTTGGTAGCGTCAAGCGCCGGTGACGTCACGCGCGCTTGACTTTTCCCTTCACCATTGTTAACAATGGGGGAAACGGCAGTTTTGGCCCAACTTCGATTTAAGATATTTTGCTTGAAATTGAGAATACAAATATGAAACTTGGGGCATATTGAAGCATAATTAGTCCTTTCTCCAGATCCGTATCGATTTTTGCCATGTCTTGATTGCAAACAGGGAAAAAAATCGCAGTATTTAACACTCAGTCCGCCTATCCTTTAAGATGGGCATACGTGGTTCTAATGGGTTTATTCATTCTGGACATTGCGTAACGTGCTTGCGGTTCTGGCACCACTGTTTGGACAATGGAAGATTGCACCAAAGTTCTGACATTGCTTCATTTCGCTTCATGTCACCTAGTCAGGTCACGTGATCCGGCCCGCGTGGGGCCGCTAGGGGATATCATATATGGGGTGCTTTCGGTATCCGGAAAATATTGTCCCTCGGATATTATCCGTCGGAAAATTATTGGTGAGCGCCTATCTTCAGCATGTCTCGTTGTCGCGATACCGAACGTGATCCCCGATAATTCTCGCTGATCCCGGTCCCGGTTAATTCTCCCCGATTTTCCGGGGCCCAGTGTTTCACCGGTGATAGCAGCACGCTGCTATCACACGTGTCAAATTGGGTTTCCATGGAAACATCAACAAACCATGGCGCCGTCAATCTGTGTGATGTCATCAAATACTGCTGCTAACATCTTCACGGCCGTGCGATCAAACAAATGTATCAAACGCAATCCAACGAGACAGCAACTCTGTTCCAAACGCAGCTCACGGATTACACGAAACGTCATTAGTGTGACCTCATCACATTACGTCAGCTCGCGCAATTTGATAGTAGCGTGCTGCTATCACCGGTGAAACAGGGCCCGGATGCCGAAAGCAGGGTTGGACATCCCCTCGGTATCTTTTATGATAGCGGAGAGACGGCGGCGCCCAGCGGTCGTGTTTAGGCATCGAGTTCGCATTAACGTATTGGGCGCCGCCGCAATACGTTACATATAAATATATATATATATATATATATATATATATATATATATATATATATATATATATATATATATATATATATATATATATATATGTGTGTCATATATATATATATATATGACACAAGTATTTTTAATGCCTTGTACCTGTACAGGTATTGTATATGTACAGGTATTACGCTCGATAACTACACGTTAGCTCGTACGGCATAACAAGCCCTTCGTTTGTTGCATCTAAAACACGAACACACGCAATATTTTTGCATCCAATTGATCTGGTCTTTGTCGTTATTAAGTCACTGAATTAGTCCGATAATTATCGATTATCACAATGCGCATTATAGAAAAGTTATCAGGAACAGAGCTGTATTCAGCGAGGGGAGGGGTTAGTGGGTACACGGAATCACATCTCCATCACATCACATATCATCTTACATCAGACGACATCACATCTCTCCCTTGAGACAATTGTTGCGGACAATAACGGAAATCAACAAATACTGTGCAACATGAAGCTCAATTGTCCCCTCGCCCGCGGTAAGAGATTGCGCCCCACCGAACTTGGAGGCGACGCCGCGCGAGGCGCCTTCGGCGTGAGCGTCGGGGAGCGTCGGGGACAGCCTCTACCGCAGGTGGCGGCGCTGGGCGGCGGCAGCGGTGCCGCCAGCAGGCGCTGGCCGTCGATCATCGCAGATGTGTGCAACATAAAATGGCACGTTGCCAGCTAACAGTCAAGCTAGTTTAAGGAAAATGAATCATGAAAACGATACATCACGACACGGTCGAGAACAATTAAGGCTCCTAAGCGACATCACATCATTTCCGCCCTCACTGTACACGGACGCATTTTCGAGCACAAGTCACAAATTGGACCCAGTTCGCCGTGTGGAGACGGTAGCTAGCAGAAGGTCTGGAAACTCGATTCAGGCACAAACTGAACGACTACCCAGCTGTTACAAAAAAGAAAGGCTCAAGAGATCAATAAATAATATCGTGATGTAATGAATGATGTGTGCCTCTGCCAATCTGTTTACTGTGCGTGGTGACGCAGGTTCCGCACCTTCCGCTTGACAGCGTCTCCGCACGTCGAGTCGAGTTCACTGTTCGCAGGCGGATAAAGGTTCGCACACGAACGAACACTTTCAGGATTTTGGCACACTGCACGCCCCGCGAATATTTCTCGGCCATCATACGGGTGGCGTTGCGGATGACGCCGCGCTCTCGACTGAGCCCATCGGGGTGCATCGCATGGTAGGCACAGAAACAGGTCTCGAGCTCCCTGCACAGTTCCAAGAAAGACTCGGTGGGAACAGTCATGTCTCCAACACTGCGCAGCCGCGTCCACAGTGCCTGGACAGGGACGTCCTCGGCATGGGACAGGGACGTCCTCGGCCTCTGCCAGTTTGCTCTTCAGGCTTGCCAGTTCAGCCTCAAGTGCTGGGCATCTGGTACACCTGTTAGGACAAAAGGATCATCAGAACAAGAAAGGGATTTCAAAATACAGAAGTAACTTTAGCTATCATGGGTGCTATCAGCTATTCATGTGAGCATGGGTGGGTGGGGGGGGGGGCATGGGTGCAGGTGTGTGTTTCATTCATGTGGGTGAGTACTGATTGTAACTAATATTCTACAATCCACAGGTACTGTGCTATAAAGCAATTACCAATTTTTATTCCTGACTTTATAGTAACACTGAGCTGGAGGAGGATATTCTTAACCAATCTTCCACCAATATTGGGCAATGACAGGAATTAAATTTATCTTTCAAACTGCACCTATTTTCTAGTAAAGTCATAGACATGTGTACATAAATAACATACTTGAAATGTATCTGAAATAAGTTAAATAAGATACGACGTACTTTTAAGGCTCACACTTCGTCTGTACAGATGCATCTGAATGCAGGCATTCTTCTGCTTGGAGTGATGAGTCTTTGGGAGCTGCTTGTTCTCCTTCTTCTTGCACCTGCCTTGACTCATCTTCCTCTCCACCTCTGTGTAGCAGCACCACTCCTTGGTGTTGTGACTCTGTAAAAATAACCGACTTTAGTAACAAACCCTTACTGCTAAATACGTGACATTAATGATGTCTATTCTAGCTGGTAACTCAGAGCTAACAAGAAGTTCAAAATTAAGTTGTTTGTTCAGCTGAGCTTTCCTTATAACAAAAAAGGCAAAATGGGGTAATTTTGACTATACCCAACTATCCATCTGATCTGGTCTGAGCTGAGCAACTTCATCCCTGTCCCAGCTGGTGGGAAACTCATTTAAAAAAGGTCCCTCAAAAATGGGTTATTCACCAATCCGGACAGCTGAAAAGCGAGCTGTCCGTAAAGTGTATACAGATTTGCTATTCAACCGATAGGTAAACTCATAAATATCTGATGGGCACACTTAAGGCCTGGCTACTCTACCTATGCGTTTTCTGCATGCGTTTTTTGCGGGCTTGCATGTTTTGCGAAATATCGATCTAGAAACAAAAGTAATAAATAATTTAACTTTAACATTAGCTATATACAAAAGTTAATAAAACTCTTATATTAACTTAAATATAATACCAAAACATATCACAAAAACATTGTTTTTACTACAACAGTAGGTACTACGCAAAACCCGCAAACCCGCGATTTTTTTTTTTTTTTTTTTTTTTTTTTTTTTTGAATTTTGCTCCCGACAGGCCGAGGCCCTGGTCGGGGTAGGGGAAGTTACTGGCTGGCAATTAGCCAGATCTTTCGTTTTACTTTACTTTAATGCCGGCTATGTTATTCCGGCCCGAGGCAATATCAAGAGCAAAGTTTACGTTAGACCGGCTCATGTGACGTCCGGTGGAAGCAAGTGCAAGGGGAAGCCAGAAAGGGTGCCAGAGTGGCAGTACCGAGAGGGATTTTGAGTACTTACATGTCTTGCTGCTGTATCTTGATGCTGAACTGTGGTAGTGTTGTAATGTGTGCTGTTGTTGTGTTGTGAGTTCCACCAGGAAAGTCCTAACTAGAAAAACCTGGTGCCTATCTTAGAGGGCAAAACCTGTGCGCTTTTGCCAAATTGCACAGGAAAAATCCCTTTGCTTTGATATTACGTTACGTTATATCGCTAATGTGTATGTGTGTTTGTGGAGCTATCGCCTTCATCCACTCCCGGGGGCCATGCATGGCAAGCCATCTAGGCCACGCCCGGGGTGTCCGGCCAGATAGCTAGGGATAGACCCGCCCACGGTGGGCAGGTCCCGATTGCCGCCGCCGCCGCCGGAGGGACGCAACGCGCGCGCTCGCAAACGTAAACGAAATCACGGCGCAACAAGAACAAACCGCATGCAGTGTAGTCAGGTGAGGCCTTTACCTTGGAGGACGAGTCAGGTTCCTGGATGGGACTGATGTAGGTAGCAGCTTCATGGCAGAATACTGCGGAGGCAACTTAAGCAGTTCTGACCTGAGGCCTCTTTCATAGTCAGCAGTTACAAAATGCAAAGAACACAAACAATACTGACGGAAGTTCTTCGGGAATGGCTCCCCTCTTTTTATGATCTGCCACCATCGCCTTGCCATCACTTCATCCGCAGGGAACTCGTGATATTTGGTGCCGGGCGCCTGGTTGTTTCTTCTCCCGGACCCATTTCTACACGAAGGTTCCGCACAGTAAACCATCATAGAATTTAAATCATCAGCAATCAGAAATCAAAGCAAAATGTTATCAATCACCAACTGATGCCCCATGAGCACCACGCAACAATCCACGATGCCTATGAATAATAAATATATCCGCGGACCGCGGCGGCCCTTAATTCAACTTTCAAATGTCCCGAAAACCAATATACCTTGCCAAAAACATTCGACGTGGTTTGATCTAGTGCATTATACATTTTCATAAACAAGGTAAAAATGATGTAATTTTGACGTCATAAAACACATCTTACTTGTTAGTCTCACAGTCTTATTATTGTTATGACGCAATCAAACTCATGCCAAACTACGACCTCAGCAGAATATTTGCGTCAAGATATGTTTCATCTGCGCAATGTTTGTCGTGATTGAGTGCTTCCATATCTCAAACTCGGACGAGTGCGTCTAGCGGCTGGTAGGGACAATTATGAGACAGTGCTTGCGCGCTTTATACAAACTGAATTATCGCAAGGCTACTAAATCAAATTGTATTTGCCATGGGTATCTTCGGTCTTTGTTATTGTTTGGGCTGGCTGGCTGCCGACAGGTGTGCGTTTGATATTTATTTTTGTTTTCGACAGGAAGAGACAACTCACAATTACGAAGATATTACCTTTTTGATATTGACACACTCAGAAGATTGGTGGAAAATGTGATGAGATTGATATATTAAAAGATTGAGATGAGGAGTCAGAGTGAGCATGACAATGAGCGTTTGTTATTTTATTTTTTGTTTTCATCAGAAGATGGATTAATGTGCGTTTGATATTTATTTTTGTTTTCGACAGGAAGAGACAACTCACAATTACGAAGATATTTCCTTTTTGATATTGACACACTCAGAAGATTGGTGGAAAATGTGATGGGATTGAGATATTAAAAGATTGAGATGAGGAGTGAGTGAGTGTTGGTTATTTTATTTTTTGTTTTCATCAGAAGATGGATTGAAATGTGTGATAAATAGGTATTCCAGAGATGATTGTAACTGAAGCTCCGAGTTGAGATGGAAAAAAGCAAGAGAAAACAGGGATTTTTATTGTTACAGCAGTTTGGTTATGATTCTGCAAGCACCTTTGTCATAACTCGTAACCACAAGTAGGTACTTATTGGGTTTGTGAAAGTTTATCAAGGCAAGGTGTTCATGGATAGGCTTATTTTCAAAGAATAACAGTAGACTCCTGATACGTGTGGTATCATGTGTTTGACCAGCTGATGTTATCTGTTCTGTCGTGTGCATTGATAGTAAATATGTGCATGCTTGGGCCCTGGCAAGATGAATAAAAGCATTCATATTTCGTAATAATGAATAATGTTGCTTTCTCTTCTCTTCATGACTCATGATATGTTATGGAAGTGTAATGGGGTCTGAATGAAGTTAACCATAGCTCATTTTGAAATGCATTTCCTACTGTCTGGAAGCTGCACACACCTCATGTAAAACTGAAATTCATTCATTGATTTTGGCATAAAAATAACAAAGATTATGACAAACAAGTTTTGGAGCCTGGAAGGAGTGTTCAGTGTTAGAATTCACTAGTGCTGATAATGGTCTTCCAGAGTCTCAATTCCCATTCTGGTTGCAATGCACAAACTCTGATCCACCCTGACACATTCTCACAGACAACTTTCAGCTCTCACAGATGTATTGAAACACTGCACCATTTTCAATGCATGACAGGTAATTCATGACAAGACATGGAGAGGATCGCCAGACCAGACAAGTTCGACGTCCCTCCAAACGATCCTCAAGCTCACAAGAAATGGAAGCTCTGGCTCCGAGGATTTAAGTACTTCTTGACGACTATCGAAAGTCACAATCCTGACAAGCTCGAACTACTCTTCCTCCATATCGGACCAGATTTTTTTTTTTTTTTTTTTTTTTTTGAATTTTGCTCCCGACAGGCCGAGGCCCTGGTCGGGGTAGGGGGAAGTTACTAGCTGGCAATTAGCCAGATCTTCCGTTTTACTTTACTTTAATGCCGGCTATGTTATTCCGGCCCAAGGCAATATTAAGAACAAAGTTTACGTTAGCCCGGCTCATGTGACGTCCGGTGGAAGCAAGTGCAAGGGAAAGCCAGAAAGGGTGCCAGAGTGGCAGTGCCGAGAGGGATTTTGAGTACTTACATTTCTTGCTGCTGAATCTTGATGCTGAAATGTGGTAGTGTTGTAATGTGTGATGTTGTTGTGTTGTGAGTTCCACCAGGAAAGTCCTAACTAGAAAAACCTGGTGCCTATCTTAGAGGGCAAAACCTGTGCGCTTTTGCCAAATTGCACAGGAAAAATCCCTTTGCTTTGAAATTACGTTACGTTATATCGCTAATGTGTAAGTGTGTTTGTGGAGCTATGTGTCTCGAGTGGGCCTCAACCTTTAAGAGGGATCCCTGTCGAGAACCGCGAGAGGGATGGGCAGGTGCCGATTGCCGCCGCCGCCGCCGGAGGGACGCAAACGCGCGCGCTCGCAAACATAGACGAAATCACGGCACAACAAGAACAATGGAAACAAAAACAATTACGTTATGAAACCACGAGAGAAACCAAGAGAAACCAAGAAAAACCAAGAGAAAATCATGTGTCCAAGGAGTTGGGGGAGGAGCCCACCGCCGCGTGCTAATGGTCCCCGCGGCGGCGGCTGGTGCCCGTAAGCTCGGGGCTCCTACAAAACCCCCACCAAGTGCTGACTGGTATGATTAGAGAACTGACGTTTCAGTGCTGACTCCAGTGACGTAACAATCCATTAAACGGGTCGTTGCGGACGGCATAGTGCCGACACCTCTTTCTCCAAGCAGATGGGGGGCAGAGGAGCCCTCCGCCGCGTGCCAATGGTCCCTGCGGCGGCGGCTGGTGCCCGTAAGCTCGGGGCTCCTTAATTGACATGGCCAGTGTCCAGGAAATCAAAAAGATTGAGTCCCGCGCCCAGAACCGCTATCGACGGCTGGCCGACCACGGAACTGAGCGCGAGACTGTGCTATATGGATCGGTCTAGCCTGGAATTCTTTAGGAAAGAGAAAAGCAAGTCGAGTAGATCCGGGTGAGAATCGCCGAGGAGAGTAGGAATTGAAAGTGCAAGTTGGTTGTGGGTGATATATTGGATTATAGGTTGCCTCTCTGCTTGATATTGGGGACAGTGGATCAAGAAGTGTTCAATTGTGTATCTTATGTTACAACGTTGGCAGATTGGAGGGGGGCCTTGATCAAAGATATATTCATGTGTCAATTTAGTATGTCCGATTCTAAGTCTGGCTATAATTACTTCTTTAAGCCGGGTATTTTGATAAGCAGTCGACCAGTGTCCGATAATTGGTTTGATTGGGTGAAAGTAGTAATGTGGATTTACGTCCCATTCAAACTGGACATACTTTTTGTAGGACGTGTAAATGACATTAAGATAATCTGATACCGGACATGGGAGGGAGTTATTGGGGGGATCTCGGAGGCTGGCTTTGGCCGCTTTGTCCGCGCGCTCATTCCCCACAATATTCGCGTGACCGGGTATCCAGATTATCTTAACTTCTCTGTTTTGGTCGGTGATTTGATTAATTTGTCTTTTAATATCTCGCGTGATTGGGTGCGAATCATTATGGGCCGCTGCGATTGATTGCACTGCTGCCTTGGAATCAGTACAAATCATTAGTTGTCTATCAGGTTTGTTGATTACGTGTCGAAGCGCTGCACTGATTGCGTAGAGTTCGGCCGAAAAGATGGAGTGGTTATCGGAGAGGCGGGTGGATTGTGCGAATCCTTTTATATAGAAGGCGGCTCCGGTCTTGTTGTCCGCCCGAGAGCCGTCTGTGTATATAAAAGTATGGTCTTTATGGTCGTTTTGGAATTCGAGGAAAAGTTGTTTCATTTCATCAGTGTTCATGTCTTTTTTGTTGTCATCGAAGAGGATGAGGGTTTGGATGGGGTGCCTAGTCCAGTACGGGCTCAGTGGAGGGTTATCTAGAACTTTTGGAGTCTCTATTTTATAGTCCCTAAGTATGTTTTTAAGGTGTCTTCTTATTGTTTGGTACTTGTATTCTCTATGTGTTATTATGTTATTTTCTGGTAGGTTACTGAGTATAGCGTATGGTATTGTATCTTTTCTTGCCATTACTTTCGTGTAATACCTTATAAGCTGGTATTCTCTTCTTCTTTCCAAAGGAGGAATGTTTGAATCAACACGGAGATTCGATGAAGGCGAAGTGCGGAGTGCGCCAGAAATAATGCGAAGAGCGGAATTCTGGATACTCTCGACCTTGTTACTGAGCGTAGTGGATATATTTGTTAGTAAAAAGGCATTATAATCCAAGATGGATCGAATCAGAGATGTATATAGAAGTGTCAGTGTTTTTCTGTCGGCGCCCCAGTGTGTACCAGAGATACATTTCATGATGTTGAGGCGCCGGGTGCACCTTCCTGTGATGTCTGCTATGTGTTGTGTGAAAGTGAGTCCCCTGTCCAGTGTGATGCCTAGATATTTAAAGGTATTTGTTTGCGGAATCTCAACCCGGCCCAAACGGAGCGGGCGTGGAGGTGTGGGGTGTCTGCGTTGTTTGGAAAAGGTTAGTGAGGCTGACTTGTGGGGAGCAATTTGCATTCCCCACTTGTCACACCATTTGTTTACGTGGTTTAGTACCGTTTGAAGTTTTTGGTATGCCGCATTCACATTGTGGTGCGACGTCCAGACCGCCAAATCGTCCGCGTACATGGAATAGTGTACGTTATGTGTTACATTGTGTATATTGTCAAAGATGTCATTTATATATATAAGGAAGAGCGTCGGGGAGAGAGGACTTCCCTGAGGGACGCCGTGATCGAGGTTATGTAGGGTTGAGTA